AGAACCTTTACATATCATTGAAGAGATAACTCTTCCAGAAATCGGTGAGAAATATTTGTATATTTTAAATATACTGAAATAATAATAATAAAACAATTTACTTTTAGCAAATAGTTTAAAAATTTACCTTTGAGGTATTTCTTATATTTTAGAACACTTTAATAAAATAATGAATTATTTTTACTATATACTAATTTTTTTTAAATCAATAAAAATCAAAATTTGAAAAAAAATTCACCTAGCTTATAACACGATTGATAATATTTATGTTAAATTTGAATTAAATAAAAAAAAAATTAATTTTCAAACGGTAATGTAAAAAATTACGCTTCTTTTAAAACTGTTAAATTATTAGTTTAACGTATTAAATATTTTAGGTAAACTTATTGAAATGTATAACAAGTACTTTTATGATGAAAGTGTAAATTTATTAACGAATGACGTACACAACAGCCCTGTGTTGAAAAAGACACATGGTTTTGAAATTCAATGTGATAAAATGAAGACACAATTAAATTTGCGACAAAATCAAAAGAATGATTTACAGCAGGTTATTAAGGGAAGCTACATAAAGAAAAAACCTAATTCTTTCTTGAAAACTGAACATGGATATACAGACGACAAGATTAATTTGAAAAAGACTAAATCCAGTCCCTACGATATATATAGAACATTTCCTTTTAAGAATATGTCGGATGCTGTGTTTAAAAGAACACCATCTCCGAGACTTAGTAAGTAAAATATTCTGCTTGTTAGTTATTTAACATGTTTATTTGGCAGATTTACTTACAAAGATAGTATTTACCTAACTAAATATACTTTTATACTACAATATAAGAGAACCAGCCAAAAATTTCAATCATATTCCAATAATGTCTCTTATTGCTTTAGTAGTTACAAATTTTTTATTTAAAAAATATTCATAATTTTAGGTAAACTTATTGAAAAGTTTGACAACTTCTTTTATGAAAAAAGTCAAAATTCAGCGCAGAAGACAAAATAACATTTGGATTTTTAAATTAATTTATTGTAAATTGGGTATTTTTTCTGGCTCTTGTGTTACATTTATAGTAACAATTGCATATCTTTGGTATAATTTTAAGTTACTTTTTATAATTTTTGACGATATGCTTATCATAGAAATTGATAATGACCCCACACGGCGTCGGCCATTATTTGTCACGGCGTGAAAATTATTGAAATTATACATAATATAATATTTATAAATTAATATATTACTCATAATTAACTAGATTAACCTATACTCAGGTACCATAAATATATTATTATAATGGATATAGACAAAATTTTCAAAACATTCTCATTTTTAATAAATTAAGCAAAATAAACAGTTTATTATAAATTCTAACACCGAATATTACACTTTATATGACTCAAATTTATATGAAATTGGAAGATTTTACCAAAAATTAGACTTTATAATCGATATAAAAGGCGCGGAAAATACAATTTATATTCTTCTTTTGGCTTTACTATTTCTTCTCGGATATTTAATTCGAGCGCCAGCTTGAAAAATATATCAAATAAAAGAAATTTTAAAATATCCCCCCACCTCGTCTAAACAATGGTTAGTAGGAAAAATAGCGTTATTCTTATACACTAACTTACATGAATATAATCTTATATTTTAAAATTTGCTTAGAACTACTTAAATTAAAATACATTAATTAATAATGCAAATGGAGTAATTTTCCGTGGGAAGGGTTATCTTAATAATTATATCGAAAACTTCTTTGTCATCAGAGGCCTCTCTATTTTTTAAATTATAGACTACGTTTCCATCCTTCTTCCTGCCAATTATAATGTGATAAATATTGCTATATTTTGAAAAAAATATTATCATTGTATACTTACTTGTGTATTGCTAGATTATATATTATATTTATTTCAAGATTTCCAAACCTGATTTCCCTTGTTTAATTTTTAAAATCAGGTCAAATATTAATTTCTCATGTATATACATTGCATCCATCAGGTTGCCTTTTTGCCATAGCCCCATTCCATCACCACACGTTATTTTCAAGACTATTTCCTTGACATTTGTCATACTTTTAAGACACTTCATTATTACTATTCTTTTTAGAACATCCACGCTCATGACTAACATCTTCGTGTAGCGACTTGATCACCGACACATCGATATTAATGGGTGGGAATATTCTAGCTAGAAATTATAATGCCTATTACTATTGATTGATATAGTATTATTTTATTATATATTTTGGGACGCCCCTGCCACATTACAGAATTGTCTGTTAAATAGTATATTATTATTATTTTCGGTAAAACCCGTTTACTTTTTGGCATATTTCATTATTTATTTTGCTAGATCTCAATTATTTTTACTGTGTCAACATTATTATTTTTTATTTTCTTGTCAGTAAATCCGATAAATGTATTACTACATGATTATCATTATATTAGGGAAGTCCGACATATTTTATGACAATATTACATTACTTTATTCGATCTAATACGACATACTCTATGGCATACATAATTACAACATAAATTCTATAATTACATAGTTTTATTCTACTTATCGATTATCAATTTAATTCGGTAAGTCCTATTCATTCAGATTTCGTTACTTAAAGGTGAAATAAAAATGTACGTAGCTTGAGATTAAAAAGGAGAATTTACTTTTATATTATATACCAAATAATTATTAACGAGTGTAAAAATATAGGGAAAATAAATGGTCATTATAAATAAAAAAAAAACAAACATTACTTAAAAAAATGCAATTGTTATTAATAGAGCGAGCTAATACTGCTATTATAAAAAAATTGGCCTTTTTTAGCATTAACTTAAAATATTATGTAAAAATTAAGTTTATATTTAATGGAAAATACAATTATTAAAAAAAAAGAAAAATGAATTTTAAACATTAGAGTAATGTCTAATAACATTGAATTTTATGTTTATTAATATATTTTTAACACTAAAACGAAGACAAAAAAAATTACACCCAGCAAGAAACTTACATAATTGAACGAAATAGCGTAGGAAACCAATAGAAAAAGTCTAAGACGCGCAGTAACAAAATAAAAACGCAAGAAAAAATGCTAACAAGTCCAAAAAGTCTAAGATTTAATTAGCGTAAATCAGAGTGGAAATACCTTTCATTAATTGCTTACCGATACTGACATGTAAAAATAATATAATATCGCACTACATAAATGCTATTTAAAATCATAAAGTAATACACTAAAATTTTAGTTTATTTAAAACACAAAAACAATATAGTACAGTCAACACTTTTTTCACAAACAATAATAATTTTGCTAAAAAAAAATATTATAATTTAAAATAAATAATAATAAATTTTATAAGTTTTCTGGATATGTATAGAAATATTTAGAAATCTTATAAACTGTTCTGTAATTAATATTAAAAGCTAAATTGTGAAATATGTCGGCCTAACTTAATTTTGCAAAATAAAAACGGCGGAAATTACACTTGGTAGCTCTTAAACGCACCTACCCGACAACAGTAATTTGCGTTTTAACAATGTTCCGAGACGAGTTCACGTATTTTCTATCCAAATTCAGGAAGCTTATAAAATTTTCTATAATATAATATTAAAAGAATGTAAGAAGACACTTACTTAGCATGAATATTAATATTATACTGCGACCTCTTGTGGAAGAATTGTATATATGGTTACAATTGTGTTACCTCAAATCATCAGTGTTAAGAAGTTGGTGTATCAGAAATTAGTAGCTTCAGACTCATCTTCAAACTTGAGAGTTGACAAATGTTGAATTAAGTTGTATCTAAAATTTTTATTAGTAAATAATTTCTTATAGATTATTCAAGTAAAATTAAATTCAAAAGTATAATAAAATTTTAATTAATTTATGTTATTTATTCTTATATTCCTAAAACTGTCATTGAGTAAATATTTGAAGATAAAAAGTTTAAAACTAATTGGTTAAACATCGCTTGTAATGACAAATGATTTTTAAATATTTGATACATTTCACAGCTGTTAGATTTTATGATAATTTTCATAAATATTTCTTCTTTTTTCAAAACTTCATAATAAACACAAGTCATTAATTTATCATTGACCACTAGATTTCTTAAATAATAATTATTAAAATATTTTTTTGGTTTATTTAAATAATAGTTATTTCTTCGTTTGTAATTTGGTTGTTTTATTTAAGTTCTACTCCTTATTATTTATAAGAAACCAACTTTATTTTTTTCAATGGCAACATATATCATTACAAACTTGATAAAATAATCCAATTAAGAAAAACTAACAGGATCATGCGATTAAAATATTTTAATTTATAGAATATCGATCGACAAATTTAACTTGGAAAATGTTAAACTGTTATTAATTAATTTCAACTCTAACAATAATCTAAATTTATTAATAATAAAAATGGCTGATAGTGAATCTTTTAAAAAAATTTTAGTAAGGGTAGTAGCAGTATGTTGTAGGTTTGAAGGTAACATGTCTGATAAATATATCTTATAAAGTATTTTTTTTCAAGGCACTACCAGATTAAATAATTGATAAATTTATGTCATTGAATAATAGTACTGTAGATATATAAATAAATTAATTAGAAAATATTTTAAGAATTGAAAAAAATTCAAATTTGTGTTACAACTTATCTCTTATTTCAGGTTAAATGTAACAAAAAAAAAATTGTATAAATACTTCTTTTTAATTATTTGATTATTACTAGAAGCTCAAAATGTTTATTATAAAAGTAGACAACATTATCTATTTTTATTAAAAAATATTCGAGTTATATTTATTTAACAAAATATCACTATGAATATAAAAAGTATTACATTCAGCTGTAATACTGGTCACCCCTACGGTCTACTCCATTTACCAATTTAAAATAATTTTTTCTAATCAACAACTGACTTGTTATCAGTATTTTTAATGTTATGAATGTGATATGATTTGCTTATATGATATTTAATGATAACAATGAACATTCAGCAGGTTGTCAGCGTACTATTATCTTTCATTAAATTGAGGTGACGTGTGTGTAGTATAAAACGATTTTTTTTAATGAATAGTTTATAAGACTTTAAAATTTCTCGCTTAAAATGAATACAGAATATCGAGAAGTTATTATTTGTAATGAAGTTTTAGAGGTATAGTAAAAAGATAATCTTTTAAATGTTACATTTTGTCTTTTATTTTAATATTTTTTTTTGGTTTTTAATTAATTTTTGTGTAACACAGCGCCTAAAAGAAAATGAGTTCAATAAAATGGATGAAATTTATTTGTTGGGAACTAGTAATGTTGAAAAAACTATTAAACGATATTATATAATTGGATTTATTGATTCTTCTTTTAGTATAAATAATAATTATCCTTACAACATTACAATAAATGGAGCTGCAGGCAACTCTGAACGTTTAGAAACTATACAAGAGTACTTTTCAAATAATGTAACATTTCATTTTTTTTTTAATTTAACCTAACTTATTGTAATAAAAATTTATTTTAAGAATCAATTGTCTTCTGAGGAAATACTTTATTTGAATTTTAATAACTCAAAGCCAAAATTATGGATGTTTTCAAAGAGTGGAAATTTTGAAGCTGAAGAAATAAATTTTAAAGTCCAGACTAAAAATGATTTGTATAAAGAATTATTTTACTTTCGAATACAAATGAAATTTGAATTAGATCAAAATATTGAAGGCCATAGCTCATCTTATATTTCAAATTTATTGGACAAAAAGGTAGATACTAGAAATCCATCAATACACTTTATTTATTTTTAGGGTTAACCAAAATTAAATAAGCATACAATTAAGGTAAAAGATCAGGAAAGTATGAGAAAATATTAAAATATAGTGTATAATGTATAAAATTTACTGTAAAATTTGTTAAACATATTTTTTTTATTGTTTACTCTCTTTAATTTGATGTCTGGCAAAGTATTTTTTCTTAGACTTTTTTATTTGGAATTTTATAATATACCACATTGTGTTATAAAACTGCTAGGCGCTGGTAAGAATGCATTTTCTAGGGGACAATTTTAATAATTGTCTGTTTCATTAAGTTATGGTAATCAATTAATTGATTAAATCAATTAATTTTCAATAATTAAAAAATAATAAGTTTTTCATACTTCTATTTCCCAAACTGATCATGCTACAGAGAGTAGTGGTCCTCTGTAGCATGTTGGGGAGTCAAAGATGGTTCTTGGCTAGGCCAATAATAGACGGGATGGGTATTATGCCGGATTACACATGAAAACAGATACTACCAAAGACAGAATCACTAATAAATCATCCATTTAGGTATCCAATTAACTTGTAAATTAATAATAATAATTATAAATGCTATAAAATAAAAATTGAAATATTAAACAAGTGTTTATGATACTTGTAATGTGTCAAAAGTTATTTATAATTATATATTTTAGTAAGATTTTAAGTCATGTTAATACTGTAATTAACATATTATTTATTAATAGTGTTAAAAACTTAGTTTAAAATTATAATAGACAAGAAAATACCCAGTAATATTCTTATTGTTTTAATTAGGGATCAAAATGTCTAATTGAAAAATATTCTTCAAAAGAACTTTTTCATAGTCTTTGAAAAATTAAGTTTTTTGAAAAATCTAATCTTCCTAATTAATTTAAAAATATATATTACCAATTTTTTAAATATTTTTACTCAAAGTTTCACGAATTTGTGTTCACAAGTTATTCTCTAGCAAATCTTGTAAGAAAACTCAAAATTTATTGATTTTAAGTCTTGAGTTCCTAAACAAGATTTGTGATTTGTCCATATTTTTAATTTGACTTTAATCTCAATATTACAAAAAATAAATACTAATTTTTAAGCTATGAAACATGTTAATTTTTAACGGCAAATCTTAGTGTTAATTTAATTTTTTTAGGAATTAGGAGAAGCAGATTTTGTAACTGACTTTCTCACATAAAACTATACAAAATAATTAATGGTTACATATGGTTTATAAATGCTAATTTCAAAGTTACATCATTTTCAAATTAAATTAACATAATTTTTTCTTTAATTAACACATTCTGAAATTCTATAATTGATATATTAGTTGTTTTTTTTTTTAATAGAAATAGTTTTATAATTATACATTTTTAATAAATTATTTTAATTATCATTTAATTTAAATAATTATATTAATAAAACAAATATAGTCTTATAATTTATCAATTATAAAGCTATATTTGATGCTTAACTAAATATTATAATTTTTTTTTAAGTTTTTCTAAAATTTTCATTGAATTTTATTTTGAAAATGTAAAATTAACCTTTTAATTACAAATATATTTTTCATAAAAAAAAGTTCTTTATTTCTATTTTATTTTTTTGCAAAGTACATTTTATTAGGAAATACTCCCTGTGGATAGGGGATAAGAATACTTCCATGGCCCCTCTGCCAGTCGTAAGAGGCGATTAATGAGGTATACGTCAGGTAGACAGCCAGCATAAAATTTTTGTCAAAATGTATGAGGAGTACTGAACAATTGCTGACCCCAAGTAGTTGGGATTAAGGCGAGGAAAAAGAAGAAGACATTTATTTAGGAAATATTGATCCCTAGTTTAAATTAGTAATAATTTTCATAGCTTAGTCCTAAAATATAAATATCTTATAAGAAAAAACGTTTATACTTAATATTAAATGTACTTTTAGGTTGGTGCAAAACCGATTTTTTATTTTAAGGAGTCTAAACATTACTTAAGTAATTCAGATGAGGATAAAGTCATTGGTGATATCCAGTTAGAAAATAGTGTTGATTATAAAATCATTAATGTTAATGTCTATCAAAATTTATCTACTGCCCCTAATGAAAATGAAGACATATCTGATTTCCCTATCATTCATCAAACAAATGGTATTTATAATCATTCATATTTTCATAACTTGTATACTTTGTACAACTTAAAATAGGAATACACCTCTGGAACGTATCGAAATGATTAGAATTTTAATACTTTAACCTTCTATGATAAATTACTTACTTTGATTGACCGCCAACTGTTGGCTATGTACATTCATAATCTTGGATTTTCTTCGCTGTAATTCATAGGTATAAAATTATAGTGCGTGTGTCAAGGACAAGTTTTTATACACTGCTTCAATTTCATACTAATTTAATTCACATTTAATAAAAATCTTACGAAAATCAAATTATTAGACAGTTAGATATAGATATTGTGTGAAAAGTGATTAGAAATAATATTTTTTTGAGAAAAGTGACTACATTATGAAAAATGTTACCTCTAGTTTCTTTAGTGACTTTAGTATTAGTCGTGGAATTTATAAAAAAAGACTTTTTATTAAAAATTTGTTATTAAACAATTAGGTTGGATATTAATAATTATTTATTGAAATATCTTTTCAAATAGTTTATTACACTTTTATATTATAAATTAATATTATTATATGAATTATTTTAACTCAATATATTAGTATATCAGTAAATTTTGTGTGAGTTGAATATGTATCGCCAAGGAATTATGTTTTATGTATTCCATAAACGGACAAAACCTAATACAGGATTTTATTCTATGCGATGTGCTCTTATAGAATATTTTTTGTTCTCTAAAATTAATAATGAAAAAGACTTGTTAATTCATTTAATATTCTTTGTAAACTTATATTATTTTACTATTCATTATTTGGGTAGTATACTCTAAAATTGTACAGAGTATAGCATTTCAATAAAAAAATTAGCCAAATTTTCCAATTGTACATTTTTTTTAGAGCCATATGATGAAAAAATTATTTGTTGTCAACTTGATGGTATGTGTGTAATAAGTAAAAGGACCTCCTTTAGAAATGCATATGAAATACTTAAAAATTGTATTAAAAAGAATGCAGAAGTTATTTATTCATTTTTACTGTCCAATTCTAGAGATTTACCTGCTGTGCATCATTTTGCTCCAAAAGAATTATGCCATTTTGTTACTATTGTTTGTTCTCATAACCAAATTGATTCCTATAGTAAGTAAAATTTACTTTAAAATTTTTTATTTATTGCCAATAAATTATGTGATTTAAATACTTATTTGAAAGTTAATTATTTACATTTTAGGTAATTTACGTAAAACTTTACATAATGCATTTAAATTGTCAATGACTAGACCATTTTTTCGTGTGTCAAATGCTTATTTATTTGATGCAAAACCAATGACTGATGAAGATGGGTTATTAACTAATGTTCATGAAGGTTTAACTCCATCTGGAAGTAAGATTTAATAAAATAATAAACATCATGTATTTAACTTGAAAAATTCATGACGTTTTTCATTAGTAAAAGAAATATTATATCATATTGATTATAAATGTCATAATTGATTAGTTAATTTTACTAAATTGATTCTTATACTTATTTACTAAATATTTGACAATGAGTATTTTGGTTTTATCTACTAAAAACTAAAGAAAATATTGATTATCAAATATTTTAGCTTCGATGCGAAGCTAAGAAGATATTAATTTTACTATGATGTGTTTTTTTTGTATCTATTACCACGTTTTCTCATCTCTAATTTAATCAATTTTTTTCAATAATATGTTAAAAGATCACAAATCGTATCTAGTCAAAGACATTACTCTCAAAAATTGAAAAATTTCTTTAGTTCCCCGTAAATGTGTAAATCTCTATAAAAATTACAAAATTAAAAATCATTATTTTTCGACATTTTTTCAATTTCTTTTACTTAAACTTTTTGAAAAATAAATGAATAGAAACAATGTTTTTTTTTATAAATACATTTGATATTTACCTATCATTTAATATAATTTTTTTTGTAAATCTGACCTTTCACCTGCCCACAGTGGGGGCAAGTATATACGTATATATCTTAAATTAAAGCTTATGTAATATACTTTAATGTAAAAAAAAAAAAAATTTTAACTTTATTTTGTTTTCATGGAGAAAATGGCTACTGTATGCTATTTTTGTGTTAAATTTTCGATTTTGTATTCCATTTTATTTTAAAATACTTTACAAAGGAATTTGAGTTGGAAAATTTTTTTTAACTCATTTAGATTCAATAACTTCAATGAATATCAAGGACCCCATCACTGTAATCTCCCGTCGTATGAAGAAATTTCTTGTTCATATTAAAATTGTTTAATTTTGATGTTAATTGTGATGTTTTTTGTTGCTCTCATTTATTTTGTCAGCTCCCACTTAACCAACTTTTTTTTAACGATACATCAAATGATTACAACTATTATCTAGTTAAAGATATTACCCTCAAAATTGAAAAAAAATCCCCTTTATCAAATAAAAAGTGGGTTAACCAGTTTTTTTTATAAAGACAATTAAAATCAATCATTTCTAACATTTTAAAGTATTTATTGCCGAATTAGGTTTGATATGATAATAGATTTCAACTAAAAAATTAAATAATTTTTCTTTGTAATTTATTAATTTTTTAATTCTATTTGTATGTAACTATTTGTATGTTATAGCATTATAAAGTTAAAAATGTAAAAAATAAAATCGAGAATTTTCACACAAAAATAGCATTTGGTAACTATTTTCACCGTGAAGACAAAATAAAGTCCGAAATTTTTTTTCCATAATAAAGTATATTACATTATCTTTAATTTAAGATATATATAAAAGTGTCAGAGTTACCAGAACACTTTTAAAAGTTAAGTTGAAAAAGTTGTTATTTTAAATCCCCCCTGCTCACAGGGTAAAGGGTCAAATTTATAAAAAAATATACCAAAGACATTATGCATCTATATAAAAAAAAATTACATTGATTTAGTAATTTTTAAATAGTTTTGGTAGTATTAAGTAAAAAAAATTTAAAAAATTAGCGATTTTTAAATTTGTAATTTTTTTGGAGATTTTTGGAAATTTTTTCAATTTTTGAGGGTAATGTTTTCAGCGCCCTGAAGCAATACCTCACGGTAGTTCCAGGGCGTCCAACACTATGTTGACCGTGTTGAAAAAAAAATAAAAGGGTAATGTGTTCAACTAGATACCATTTGTGATCTTTTGACATTTTGTTGAAAGAAATTGGTTCAGTGAGAGCTGAGAAAAAGTGGTAACAGACACAAAAAAAAAAAACACATTACAGTAAAACTAATACCTTCTCAGCTTCGTATCGAAGCTAAAAGTGATTTTTAGTATCACCTGAATTTAACAATGATTTTTTACAATTTTAATCAAATTTTATAATACGCTCAATTGAGTAGATTTTTTTAACAACTTTTTGTTTGGTGTTTTTAGTAAATCATTAAAATTTACATTTTCCGTTATTTTACATTTTACATGTTCTGCATATTTCAATTAAATCTTTATAAACATCAAAAGTTACTTAGAAATGAAATTCATTTTAAATTCATTCAAGTGATTTATAACAATAAAATAAAGTGATAGAAAAAGTCAAATATCAGATTTGAAAATAATGTGAAAAGTATACTTTTGATCCAGATGAAAGTTCCTTGTAGACAAATGTATTTATTCATGAGTAAAAAAAATTTTTTTATAAAGTATTGCATCAAGCCCATTAATTTTTATACATGTTTCTCATAGAAGTAACAAAATATACTACTTTATCATTTGTTAGTATTTCTTCGAAAAAAATTACAATATTAAATTATTAAATATTAATTTTGTACTATATTTAATTGCGATATAAAATATTATTCATAAATTATACTTTTCTAAGAACTACTAATCAGGATATCATTGAGAAAACAGGAGTTGATGTTGCTTTTGTAATGATGTACTAATTTCTTAAAATTAAAAACTATCTACAGATTTGCATCGAAGCGTTTCTTATGACAATGATTAAAATCACTGTTAGATATCATCTATACTTGTCTCAAAAATTCCATGTCCATACTGAGCCACGACTCCATTGTGCTATCATTTTTTTTTGTTTTTTATGTATTATTGTAAATATAAAAACATAGGAAATGTCATGCATTAAAATACATATATTTTTTTTATGTGTTTTATCACTAAAACACATAATCCCATGATTAGATCACTTTGATTGGGTTTAATGGTTTAGCCCAAGTAAATTTAAAGTGTCATTTTAAATATGTTATTCAATTAATTTTTTAAAATACATTTTTTAAAAATATTGATCGTTTTGAGTATTTATTGGTTGTAGAACTAGTCTTCTTTTACTACATTATATTTTTTTAATTATAGACAAATGCTTAAATGAGCATAATAGTTTTTCTGTTTTTACACACATCTTTTGACCTAGATAATTTAGTAACATTAGTTTTTAATTTATTTAAATAATAATGTTAAATTGAATTGTATTGTGTATTTAGGAAGCAATGGGAAACCATTACACTTAAAAATTTTCCCAAGATATACCAATCCAAGATATATTCAATCCAGGTTGGTGTTAACCAACCTTATGGTTGTAAAAAATGTGCATTTTTATACTTTATTATAAATATAAGTACAATTTTGAAAAAGCATTTTTTATCAAAAATTACATATTTATATTATAAAATTTCTAATTTATTATAAAAATTGTGTTATGGGTTCCTAATGACTATCTAATTGTATTCATAAAATAATTTTTGGTATTATTTAGTTTTCTATATTTTTCTATTTATTACTTTTTTAAATCATCTCTTGTATCTTATGGTAACATACATAATACTAGTTTATAAATTAAAGTTGTAACAATTATAATAAAAAACAGTTATGAACAAAAAGAAGTCATTTAAATTTTAAAGTAGGTACTTTATTTGTGAAAAACATCTCTCATTTGTGCCATTCTTTTATAAATTTCTAAATGTGCCCTTGTTTATAGAACATTGATAGTAATTTTTTAAAGAATATTTTTAAATTGGATTAAGTTGAAATTTGTCTAACATATCAATAAATAATGTTAACTGCTCAATTTTTCAAAATATTATTATACTCTAGATTTTTATTATTTAATGTTGGTTATATTTTTTTTAGTAAAAAATGGAGAGATATCTTTAGTTCAGGGTATTTATACATACTATCATTATGGTCATGGTGGTTTTAATGATCATCAATGGGGATGTGCTTATAGATCTTTACAAACTTTATACTCCTGGTTCAAGTAAAATTGTTTTTTTTTCATTCTACTATAATTGCTTGATTAATGAGAATATATTATTTTTAGATGGCAAGGATGGACAAATAAACCTGTACCTTCTATAACATGTATCCAACAAACTTTGGTTGATATGGGGGATAAACCTAAGCAATTTGTTGGCTCTAAAAATTGGATTGGGTCGATGGAAGTATCATATGTGCTTGATTCCCAATTAGGAGTTACATGTCGAATTATGTCTTTGCGTCAAGGAGATACTTTGAATTCAGTATGTCTTGAATTAGCAGAACATTTTAGTAGACATGGAACTCCTGTCATGATTGGTAAACATTTTGTTATTTAAACTAAAACAAATATTAAGCTAATTCAGCTTAATTTATAGGTGGTGGTGTACTTGCTCACACTATTCTAGGAGTAGATATCAATGAAGAACGAGGAGAGGCTAAATTCTTAGTCCTAGATCCACATTATACAGGAACAGATAATTTAAAAAGTGTTCATGGTAAAGGCGTATTTTGGAAAGATGCTTCATTTTGGAAAAAAGATGCTTTTTATAATTTATGTTTGCCATTAAAATTTAATGGCATATAATGCAGATTTGTAAAGTAACTATGTAGTCATATTTTGTTTACTGAAATGATGACAACATTAAAGTTCAATTATCAATTTTTTTTTATGATTTTGTGTATTTTTAGTAGATGTGTCAAAGTTAAATGAGCGCTATTCTCTCAGTTTTCCCTACTAGTTTTTTAATTTTTTACTAACCAGATACTTTTTTTTGACAATAATTTGTTTTGATATTATCATAATGATTAATGTTCAGAGCCAATACCTCTTAATTTTATAAAATAATTTTTTATGTTTTAATTTAAAGTATGGTTACTCAATTAGGTAATCGTTTACAAAAAAATATTCAACTACTTCTTTTTTAGTAAATCATAAATTTTTTTGTTGTTATTATTATTTGTTAATAAAACTATATGTTTAGTTATTAACTTTAGAGCTTTATCTGAAGAAAATAACTTCATCTAATTAATACTATATTTTTAGTGCAATAATTTTTGATACAATATTCTTATAATCTTTCTTATTTCTTAGTCAAGTGCAAATATACTAACTCGGACATAATACTATCAATATTATAAATCCATACTTATTATTATTATTATTGTCGATAAATTCTTCTTCGCATAATTTGATTGTTACAATTTTTCTTTCATACGACCTTGTGAGTTACATCATCGTCATCTATTTAAGGCAATGCCTTGTCATTGAAGGCACTCCTCTTTGATAGACGGCAAATTCTTTAGTGAGTAAGTTATGTAAGATTGTAAAAAAAAATTGCTGAATATATTCAAAGATTAACATGAATATAGACATAGTCAATATTTTAGCATATTGAAAACTAAATATTGATATATTTTATAACAATGAAATATGAATACAAAATTTAAAGATATAAATATGAATTTGATTCGATTTACATTCATTAGATGATTATTTAAATTATAGCACTTGTTCTAATAATTTAACTATGTACCATGACAGTGGCGCCATGCCATATTTTATGATATAAAAATTCACTGAGACAATACCACTAAATTTTTTTTACCTCTTTTTGTTCATTACTTGTTATTAAAGTACATTTTCCATTAAGTTATGGGCATTTATCAGAAGAAATGTACCCTAATATGTTTAAAATTAGCCATAAGTGATCAATTTTAAGTGACCAAATATATATTAATTATTTTATTGAACACTTTATATATATATAGGGTGTTCAGTAAGTAAGGAAACAGGTTACAATAAGAACGATAGATACCCATTTCCTTACTTACTGAACACTATAAATAGGAATCAGTACCACTGTATAATAGTATTAAAACAAAACAAAAAAATGTAATAATTAGTAAATTTGGAAAAATATTTAAACATTTTTCATTTATATAAATTTTATTAACAAAATATTTTAATAAAATTATTGAATTATGGTTGATTATAACTTAAGAAGTCACTATTGGCATAAGGTAAAGAGAGTTAGATTTTAAAACTGTTTTTTAAGGGACCCCTCTATTGACTATATATAGTGAGTACTAAAACTAATATTATTTTGTTTCTTTGACTTAAAAAATCATGTTTAACAAATGTATAACTTACATTCTAAAACATGTTTGGGAAAGTTTGAATTTGAATTACTTATTATTTTGGCGAAACTTATTCTTTCATTCCAGTTTACTCTAGTAAATAAATATCATCATTTTTAACGATGGTGCTTGGCTATCATTTATTAAATTGTTTTATTTTAAAATATACATTTTCATTGGGTTTCTCTTAGTTATAAACAAAAATTTAATATTGTTTGTGTTGTCAATAAGACTTATTTATTTAACATGACTCATTCAAATTTGTTAAATCCTATTAACTTTAAAATAAATTAATCTATTGGGATAACTCATAATTTAACTAATTACATTTTGAATAGTTTATTAGAATGGAGTTTATTATTCGTTTACAGTTGATCAATATTATAGTAGGTATAATAGAATGCTCAGTTTACTTGGTAATTTGCCAATGACAATAATAATAATAGCATATAGAATACTGAAAATACACTAATTGCTTTTAATGTGTTAACGCAACAGGCTTTACGAAGGCCAAGTCTATATTAATACGTTAAGTTAATGATCACTGTAGATTGTAAAGCTCATCTCGAATTATATTGGATTAGGAAAACTTACTTTAGCCCAATAGAAAAGAGTACACTCACAAGCCTACAAGTTAGTAGTTAAATGTGCGGAAAATCGTATAACATTTTTGTTGTGAAAAGCACACTCATCAAAACGATCAAATCAGATGTAAATAAATATACAAAAAAAAATATATATAATACTAATTATTTTGTGTATATCACGTCAAATTCGTAGTGGGATGACTGTTATTGTAGGAATTAGAAAAAGCGGCAGTTGATTTTTAGGCGCCGTCGCGGTAGTACAATATTTTCATTGCTAGGCGGTTGCCGGTGAATCGCCGCTATTGTTACCGTGCGACGGTCTCGCTAAGTGAAAACTACCCCGAGCACATTTCATTCCGTTTTAGTGATACCGCGTGGACGATTCGAGTGCGTCAATCGTGTCACTCAAGTAACCGTTTTTACACATGCGGTAAGTAATTAGAAATTACATTTTATTACTCATTGAGGTAATAAAATGTTTTTAAATGATTCAATTTATTGATGAAACAGAAATTTAACCTACAATGTTAACAAAAACGTCTAAATTAAATTTAATTGGTAAATTATGACAGCAAATTTTTTGTCATAAATTTTAATTTGATCAGTTTTTCAGATAACGTGAAAATAAAAATATTCTATAACGGTTTTTTTATACCATTTATGTTTCTAAGTAAAACGACGTTAAGAATTTTTCTTATGTCCTATTACATTTTTATTTTTAATTGTTTTAGGTAAAAACGTTATATTATTATATAATTGTTTATATAACCTTTAATAACTGTCAGCTATAAAAATTAACTTTTTAATCTAAGATTTTACTCTTACTAATCAAGTAGAACAATTAATTAAACATTTTTTTGACTAAAAAGCAAGAGAATTGTTTTTTACGTGTAACTTGAACCACAGTTAATGGCCTTTCCAAACTGTCAAGTGAAGGATTATTTTATAATGCATTTAAAATATATATATTAAGCGCAAAAGCCATTAATAGTATAAACCACAAAGACATTAAGTTTTGTAAATAGCAATATTAAGATACATGACCAAAAATATTAAAATAACCGCTATATACAAATAAATAATTTATTTTATTAAACTATAATATAGTTATAGATAAAGTCAAAAATTCTATAAAGAGTAGGAAAACAAGTTAAAAAAGAAGCAATATTATAGTTAGCTGGACTGAGTAGTTTTTAATTCTTTCCCCATAATTTATATCCATCTCGGAATTATTTTTGATATTGGGATACATTTATTTTTTCCTGTTATATATATAAATAATTTTGTTTTCATTTTTTTGGTTACATATGTAACTTCATTTATTTGTTATAAAATATTTTTATGTTCATCCCTCGTTATAGGGGTTAAAATAAAGTCTGGATTTTTTTTTAAATAAAAACATACATATTTAACTAGCTTATAAAATAAAAAATTATGTAATTAAGAAAAAGACTGGTCGTAAAAAGCCTTTAAACCAGTATTTCAGAAATTATCATTTTTATACTTAGGAGTAGCGCGGGTGGACTATGCGTTATAAATATACACCAGTACAAGCTGTGTACTCACCGCGCTACATACCCACTCTATGTATTAAATAAATAATAACTCAATAAGTACTTATGCTGAAATTTTTATCAACAATTTTTGTGAGGAAAATGCTCTAAAAAATAATATTTTTTTAATTTAAATTTATTATTTTATTTTTAATATTAAAAAGAAATTAGAAAACATATTGTAACATAGTATAAGAATGCAATATTTGTTAAAAAAAGAAATTAAAACGAAATTATCAAAAGTTACAAGAGTTATAGGTTATATATTTTCTATTTTGTGTATTTTTATCAAATATGGATTATATTGGCCATTAAAGTTATATAATTATAACATCATTGTAATTAGTTTAATATATCATTTTTTGGATTATATGGAACAATATCGGATTATATATAAATAAAATAAAATTTCTATTTCATACATAAACCTCGAGTTCCCAGCTACGTTAGTATTTAAGTTTATTCTTCTAGTGTGCATTTTGTCTTTTAAATAAATTTTTTAATTTATTTAGTAAAGTAGAATTCAGAAAAACAATAAAAACTTAAAAACAAAATAGTTTTGTTAAAAATTATAATAATTACCTTAAAATTTTTTAAAGAGCTTATAAACTATTAAAAGTACAATTTTTATTGTTAATTAGGAGCAAGTAGGCCTTTCCCGTTGATAGCAATATTCTTATCTTAAATGAAGTGATAATCAAAAAAAAAAAAAGAAGAAAAGGTCCAAAATATAAAATTGTTTAGATTTTTTTACTGTGGCCGAATCATTAAAAATCATGACTACGCAACTATTTGATCGTTAATGTGGATCAGTGCCGGTGCAAAGTCGAGAAAAACAGGATATGTATCCCTGGGCCCAAGTTGTATAACAGAGGCCCACATATAACAGTAGCGTTGTTAAGGTTTTGCTTTTAGAGATGCACATAAGAAAAATGCTATTACTCCCTCCAAACGACAAAAAAATTACTGGAAATATCTATCCCACTTCAACCCTTTCACTCCTGGCACATAAATCTCGTAATTATGATTTACCCCGATCCAACAAAACCTAGCACCAGCAATGATGTGGATGGATAATTATCTTTCACTTTATAAGTTTCTTATTCTTTTTAACTTTTCCCCTGATATCTTTTATCTAATTTTAATATTCAGCTACAAAATACGCTGTATTAAGTATAAAGTATGTATTAAATAACTGTATGGAATTAAATTACTTATGTACGCTATTCTAAGTTAAAGAAAATACGCATATGTTTTGAAATATAATCGCAAATTCTAATTTAATTAGCGTGGCGTTTATTAAGAATAAGAAGGTTTATATATAGAACGTACACACAAATTACAGAATACATTAACAACACCGGTGCATAAATAAATGTTTTAAAATAATTAATATTTTGTCCTTTAATTATTTTTGTTACTTATATTTGTTAAAAATTATTTTTCTGTTTTCAAAATCAAATCAGATATAAAGTTTATTAAAATAGTCAAATCGTTTAGAAAATTTAGTTTTCAACTCTTATATGCAGGTGTCTTAATCTGTTCTGTCAAATTCTATAACTTTTGATCCACTGAATACATCATTTTGCTACTTTTCTTTTTTAAATCATGTTAGAGTATAGAACTATAATAATACAAAAATTAATTTTTTTTTAAACGAGAAGTGTTATAACAACCAAAATAGCCATCTTTATAGATTAAATATTTAGAAAATTTTCAAAATAGCTGTTTTAAAGCTATTTTTACAAAAAAAAAAATAAAATGTTATGGGTTGATAATAATTATAGAATGAGTAATTATTGAGTTACACAAATTTTAATACAAAGAGTAGGTGTGTAGTAACGCTAGTGGAGTATACGTTATACGTATAACTATACTTACCTACGCTATATACCCACTGTATGTATTAAAATTCTTGTAACTCAATAATTACTCATTCTATAATTTTTATTAATCAATTTATCAATTTTATAAAAAAATTGTTAATCATTGGCTATTGTAAACTTTTAAAAAAATTTAAAATTAAAAAAAAAAGATATTATAAAAACAAATAATTTAAAATATGAATTAAACCTAGTATAATAATGCAATAAACGTTAAAAAATACAGCTTTTTAGCTAATTATTAATTATATCAAAAATAAACTTTTGATAATTTTATATATAGAACTTGTAAGTTAAATCAATGTCACACTCGGATGTATATATTATTTTAACTGATTAATTGAATTTTACTTTTTAAAAAATTAAGAAACACTAACAAGACCAGTGTAAATGTGTTAACAAGATTAAATTCTTTAACAATATTATTATTAAATACTTTTTATAAATATATACTAATTTAAAGTAATCTGGTAACAAAAGAAATAAATAATGATAGATTTTAGATCTTAATTACTATAACAGTTAAATAGTATAAGTATAAAAGATAACAAATAAATGATATCTTTTTTGTAATTAGGTCACACATAATTAATAATTATTACAATATATACTCTTAAAGTAGTATTAAAAAAGCATTACATTTTTGTTATTTTTTGTACAGGTGTTTCCATTGTTAACTATTTTTTTGTCAATTAATTATCTGAGATTTAAAAAATCGATTAAACCTATCATATATTCAAAATAAGTTTAGGAATGTTTGGAGGTTCAAACCCTTCTATTACAATTTTTTTTTATTCAGGAAAATTATACTAAAAATAATGAAGTGGAATTTTATGTATAAAACACCTCCATTACTCTATACCTACACTTCTAAACTAAGAAAGTATAGATAAAGAAGTTATTTTGGGGTTCAATTCCTATATATTTCCAAAATTTCAACTGGAAGTCAAATAACAATAAAAAAAAACCCAGCACAGGGGGATCGCGGCACAGTGGTGACGTGGCATAGTTGGATAAGTATTATGATATCTGACAGTGATTAAAATCACTATCAAAAAAAATGCTTCGATGCAAATCTTTAGATAGTGTATAATTTTAAAAAATTGGTGGATTATACCAAAAGCAACATAATCTGCTAGTTCTTTATTAATATCCTGATTAAGATAAAGTATGCCGAATGAAAAAGGGATTATTAAAAAATATTATTTCTCATAAAAAAATTACATTGATCAATACACTTTTCAATAAGTTATAGCATAATAAAGTTAAAAATGTAAAATACAAAATCGAAAATTTTCACACAATAATAGCATTTGGTAGCCATTTTCACCGTGAAGACAAAATAAAGTCCGAAATTTTTTTTTTCACGATAAAGTATATTATATTAGCTTTAATTTAAGATATATATAAAAGTGTCAGACCTTCCGGAACATTTTCAAAATTTAAGTTGAAAAAGTTGTCATTTTGAATCCCCCCCTGTAGGTAGGTAAAAAGTCAGATTTATAAAAAAAATATACCAACTGATAGGTAAAGACATCATGCATCTATAAAAAAAAAATTATATTGATCCATACATTTTTTAAAATGTAATAGCATTATAAAGTTAAAAATATAAAAATGAATTTTTTTACAAAAATCGTATTTTTTTTATAAACTTTGATGTCTGTTTTCACCATGAAGATAAAATAAAGTCCGAAATTTTTTCTTTCCATAATAAAGTATATTACATTAGCTTTAATTTAAGATATATATAAAAGTGTCAGACTTTCCGGAACACTTTCAAAATTTAAGTTGAAAAAGTTCTACTTTCTACATGCATTTTTTAGATTTGAACCCCCCTCGTATATAGGGAAATGGTCGGATTTAAAAAAACAGTATGTCAAATAAAAAATGTATATAAATACTACTCCTCATGAAAAAATTGTACTGATCCATACATTTTTCAAAAAGTTATAGCATAATAAAGTTAAAAATGTAAAATACAAAATCGAAAA